TATAGAACAGGAAAGTTATATATGAATAGAATAATGAAGTGATTGGAAATGACCATTACAGTGATTATGTGTTTTGTAGGTATTCATTGAAAAAGAAATTACATTTGTAAAAGAAAATCCCAGTAATTAAGCTTCAAAATGACTGACTGACTTGACAGTCTGATGTGCGCTTCTTCGGAGAATTCAGTCAGTCAGTCAGTTACAACGTAGAACATCGTACTTACGTACATTCGTTCAAGTTGTTATGCCATGATAAACACAGAGATACAACTGTCAATTCAAATCTCATAGTAGTAGATGTAGAAGTATGAACAGTAATCGAAAAGATCAGGATTGGAAGATATTATTCTATGAGCATAGACCAGTGAAATAAATTTGAGTGGAGTAAGATGAAGGTGATGAGGAATTCCGATTAGAATGTGAGAGACCACAAAGAAGGGATACACCTGCGTGATTGCGAACGATTTTGAGCTATGTCTTTCAAAGTCTCTAACCGTCGGTTATTATTGTCTCGTGAACCTCAACTAGGTAGTGTGTACCTATTCAAATGGGTCAGTCCAGTTGTTAGTGACTACATAGATTTGTGCGACGTTTTTGGTTAGGCCGTCCTTAGGCTTTCTTTCACCCTACTGCTACATCACAAAACAAAGCTCATCGAGGCAGTCAATGGGAAGAAAGAAGTACTATTCATACATGTTGTACAGCTACAATTTAAACAAATTACACAATTTCACATATTAAAAATTGATCAAAATATTCTAATAATTTGAGTTCATGAAACAAAAAGAATTCTGTCATGATTAATTATAAATATATTGAAAGCACTTTATCTCGCCTTATTTCACACACATACAAAGATTAGATTTTATTTCAACATATTTTAAGGACTAATACACTTCCGTTTGGAAATATAAACGATAAATAGTGATTATATTATAGATATAAATAATAATAATAATAATGGTAATTATTATTATCATTATAAGTGCTTTATTAAAATTGTATTATAAATTAATAGTATGATTAAAATATATATAACAGTTTTTCTAATCAACTAAATGGATATATGATGAAAGGAAACTGGATAAATAAACAAAGTATAACATAAAATTTATAGTTAATACGCTTTTTTTTGAATTGAATTATTCAGTCGAAAATTAGTTATAACCAGGGTAAGAGGATGCATGTCCGTCAACGTGTAGCGTGGCTAACATTCAATGTTCAATATGTGTGTGAAATATCTGGCATTTTTCCGTTTATTTATTGAGTAAATTACTATCTATTAGAGCATAATTTCACTAGGGATTTTATTTCAAGCTCAAATGTACACTTCATTGGCTTTTTCCATCTAAGAATTATGCGTGCTCAGATAAGACATATAGAGACAATTTTAGATGATTGAAATAAAGACATCAGCTTTGACAATCTAACTGAACGGAAAATTACTCGAAAAATGCAATGGATCGTACTTTTATTCAACATTAGAAAACTATTGACTACCCTTAAACTATTAGCATCAGAATGTGATTTGAAAAAAACCACTGATATGGATAAGAATAAACTGTGAAAAATATGTAATGTAGTGTGTGTACAAGTAAATTGAGCCGATACGACTTGTCCTAGCTTCTGGACAAACTAATTAACCTTTTCTGGCTGAGTTACCAATCGCAAGTCTTTTGACCTTGTCGATTATTCGTTTTTAGTCTTGATCGTTTTTGGAACGCATTAGAAACTTTATCCTACCAATATTTAGTTTGGATTATCAACTTGACTTAATCCCATGCTTGTGTTGTTTCTGGCTGTTATCGATTGCCTTCTCTTTGAACAGTGCATTCTGTGTGCATACTGAGTTGTCGGGTCACTCTTCCTCTTGTTCTTCCTTCTTCCAAATAACCTAAAATAGCGGTCCTCACACTCCTTCAGCACACAACGTACCTTCAGGCTCAATGCAAACTTACAAAAGACTGAAGTTACATTTTTACTTGAGTGAGTGAGTGCATTGCTTGCTTCGCTTATCATATGTCTGAATAAAAATACTTAATCATGCGTTATCATATCGAGTTGGCCTACTAACCTTGTCCGTTTCACTATGCATCGTTTTGTATTTAAGCTTCACATTCTATTGTCTGTTTGATAAAATGAAAAAAATTCATTTAAAATAAATCGTATTGGGCTACTAATCACCGCCGTCGTACAATGGAAGATTTAATCTACAGAATATTCAATTCTTTGTTCCAATAGGAGTCAGATCCCGGACCACAAATACAAAAATAAATTGCCTGATTAGTTTTTGAACAGATTTGTTTCCTTTCCCTGTGATATTGATTATCGAGTTTCACCAACGGAAAACAAGGATACGATAGGTAACCTTTGTTCCTCAATGGGGGCAACCTTTAATCTTAAAAGAACTGATATTTTTTTATGGGATTAAAGTACGCACCACCCGATTTCATTCTTTTTGGAATTGACAATGCACTATGTGGCTTGTGACTGATCTTCTTAGTTTCAAATAGTATCCCAATGTGATTATAAGTGAATGCAGAGCAAAAAAGCATTCAACCTTAAAATTAATGTATAAAGACTCTATCATTGATAGTAAAGTCGTATCCACACTAGTAATTGATTTTAAGCTAAAACACCAATTAATTTCAGGTAAGAAAAACCCCTTTATTAATAAAGTTTTACCATATTGCAAACTATATTAGATCTCCGCTAACCGATCTCATTGCATAATCAGTGCGTTTTCTCGTGATTAAACTGAAAGTAAGAACGTCAACAATCGTTTACTAGTTAAGCACTCGCAGACCAACCTCTAGGTTTGTTCATTTTTCAGAGATTTATCAACTGAAGCATCAATTTCTAACAATTTCAGAAACGAATCTATTCTTCTACAACTATAGATGTGTTGAAAATAATGAGTATTCAACAACAAAACAAATGGTGTACTTGTCATATATATATATATATATATATATATACAATGTTTTATTTCTAATGAATAAACAAGCCTGTTATCGATTGAGAGATAAATATTTATGTACAAAAAAAAGGCATTTTTTTAAAGACAAAAACAAAACCAACTATTTAAATGTATCGTTTGTTGATGATTTCTGCATAAATTAACTATGGATGAAAGTGTTACCAGTTTTTTTTTCAGCAAACACTATCAAGAGAACATCATTTTAATCAATTTTTGCTGAATATCATATGATGTCAATGTTAGATATTTGTAAATAATAGTGAACATAATGTAGATTTCAAAGTTTATTCATGATTGATATAATGTGAGGTACTATTGAAGAATTCAAAAAAAGAGAAATCTATAAAACTATAAAATTATCGGTCAACTATACTTGCTAACTAGCTCCTTGAGAAGGTTCTAGTAGGAATTAGTGACCAATGTAGTTCAATCCTGTTCGGGTGTGAACCAGTGCTCACATAATACAATGGATGAGGTTACGCAAGACCTTGGATTGGTCGATGTTAGTAATTAACACGGTCTGATGCCTTCTCAATGGTCTAGAAGTTAAGCGTTTCTCATTGTTAGCAACAATCTTTCATTCAATTTCACACTGTAAACATTAGTCATATAGTTTATGAATGATTCATTCATTTTTTCATCTATACAAAAATAATACTTTTCTCTTATCAGTATAATGATATGGAGATTGTTGAGTTTCACTGATGTCATGAGCCGATCACTGTTAGGATACCATTGAAAACCTGAAAGCATTGGATAGTAGTTTCAATCTAGTATCGATATACTCACTAGTGCATACTCAGCCATGACTCCGCATACGGGAATCAGACGTAGGCCCTTCCGTCTTGTACGTTAACGCTTAACCTCATGACCAATGAGCTTACATTCAACATTGTTAATGTCCAACTTCAATCTATCTTGTAAGACACATAAATTAATCCCTTTACTACTTATTTGACAATTTATTTATAATTACTATCGCCATAACCATTCTTTTCAGTCATTTGATCGATCGATGTTAGACCACCATTAGGAAGAACACCTGGAAGCACTAGACAGCCGTTTCGTGCCTAGTATTAGGGTGCGAAGTGCTCATGTGTCCCAAACTAGGACGAATCCGCCATCCAGTGCTTTCAGGTTTCTGATGATGATGGTCTAACAATGATTGATTATTGATTTCAATTAAATCCAACCCTATTATGACAGTTAATTATTGTAGTCAGACTTCCAGACAACCTCCATTAGCAGATAACATTAGACAGACATCATGCAATAATCTAATAAGCTTAATCATAAAGAACTATGTTCGTTTTATATTTTGCAATTTGTTGAAACTATGTTAATCAGAAAAATCAGTTGATTATATTGTTACAGTATTTTTCTCTAGAAATTTTTTTCTAGTTAGTAATTTTATCAATCCTCCTTTCCTCTGATAATAACATTATTCTGATATAATGAACTGAAATATGCTATCAAATGGATGATATCAATGATCTTTTTCGTGGCAATTTAGAATGATGTAACAAAAATGATCGATTTGTAACAAGGAAAATCTTTCGCTTTGCCATTAAAATTTTGAGAAAAAAAAAACTTGAAATGTTACTTAGTAGAAATGTTTGTTTTGATGGATAGATTATAATTAATTGAAATTCCAGAGCAAACTAACTAACTGATGAACAAGTAAATATTTAATATAGGCAAAAAACATTAGACAGCTATTATTCAATAATCAACAATCTAAAAACCTGGCACATATGTTACATCGGTTTGAATGGGCTATACCAACATCAGCGCAACACGATGAAATGATCAAGATAAATATCAGAGTATTAAAAGTAGTAGTAGTGGTAGTAGTAGTAGTAGTAGTAACTAGTAGTAGTAGTAGTAACTATAATATCAGTACGAATAGATTTGTGAAATAAATTTTTAAAAAAAAACCAGGTAACATTCATTAAAATCGAATTATTTTTTCAAAATAATTGACGAAATCATACATTTAAGAGAGAAACAAACAACTTACTTCTTGGCATGGTGACAATTAATTTCTCAGCATTGGATTGTATAATTTTCAATTCTGTCATAATTTCACTAATCTCTGTATTGATTATTCCTTGATTTGTTAATTGTATTTTGTGAACAGTATTTTCATTATTGTTCGAAAGTGTTGCTAAACGAAACAGATCCAGATATTCACATTGTATAATATGACCATTTCTAGGACATGATGATGCGCTACCACCACTGCTACTTCTGGATCGACGAGCATTACCATCAGCTTCAAGTAAATTGGTGAATGATGATGATGAATCACAGGATTGTGCAATACAACTAAGTTGTAATAAATTTTCACTATCCATAATTGTTTTATCGTCTTCTTTCGATGGAATTATTTGAATTTTAGGATAATGGACTGTGAATTCAAAAATAAATACACAAACAACGAATTAAAATATAGATATATGTATATGATATACAAATCAGCAATAAACAGTAAGTTTGAAAGTGTAACTTATGATTTCGTTCCAATCATCATTGGATAACAAAGATTCTAGGTTCAATCCTTGCTACAACGATCACAGATAAGTATTGTTAGGCAGTTCCAGACTAGCACTAAATAACTATCTAATTCTACTTGGTTTTGAATATAAGTTTGTGCTGCAAATTTACAAAGATCATGAGGATGTAATTAAGTGAGAGATTGTAACATATTACATGCGTTTAGTAAGGCGCGGATCGATAAAGCAAGGGAAGCATTCCTACAATTGAACAATATCTAGAACTCAAAATAACTATCAACCAACACCAAAATCAGAATTTTCAATACGAACGTCGAGACAGTTCTAGTGTACGGAGCTGAAACTTGGAGGATCACGAAGGTCATCATCAGAGAGATACAAGTATCTATTGACAGTTGTGTTACGTACGATACTGCTGATCAGTTGGCCAGATACCATCAGTAACGACCTACTGTTGGAGAGAACGAACCAGATTCCAGCAGAGGAAGAAATCAGGAAGAAGCGCTGGAGATGGATGGAACATATGTTGAGGAAGGCAGCCAACTATGCCACAAGACAAGCTATCAGTCCGAATCCTGAAGGCCAAGGGAGAAGAGGAGGACAAAAAACACATTTACGTCGAGAATCGGAGATAGACATGAGGAGAATGAACAACAAGTGGATAGAACTAGAAAAGAAGGTTCAGGACAGAGTAGGTTGGTGAATGCCGGTCAGGGGCCTAAACTCCATTAGGGGTAACAGGCGTAAGTAAGTAAGTAACATGTAAGTGATGCGTAATTTGCAACAAAACAAATGATAGAGACGTTTGTCAGCCAACCCTGAAATCATGAAGGAATTCATGCTCTCTATAGAATTCAAATCATCATTACTCTTTGTTTTTAGACGTTACCGCTGATCACTTTTGGTAATTCTTAGAATCAAATCAGCTCTAAAGTCCTAGACAAGAATGACACTGGTAACTGTTTCAATGATCAATCAGTTGAACAATGGGGCTAGAATAACTCACAAATAACGACTCAAACCAAGGCTGATTAGCTTGGATTCAAAGTTACTAATAATTGGGATCAATCCGCTTAATATTTCCAGCACATCTTACTGATCACTGTCAACCAGCATTAAGCTTAGGTCAAGTACAGTTTACGCTGATTACTACTGACCCTCTGAGATCTCAGAATATTGAGTCACTCAGAAAAGTGGTCATATTTTAACTTTATTCACAGAGTTCGATCAGCATTAAAGGATTAGATGTGAATGGCATTTGTCACTATTCAGTGATTGATATACAATTATCACGCAGATCAAACATTCAAACTGCCTAAGTTCTATTTAGGAAAAATCTACAAATAATAATAATAATAATAATAATAATAATAATAATAATAATAATAATTGTGGTAGTATTGTCTGATAGTTATTTTTCGCTGGTTAATTTTCATAAATTAATGCACGTCACATTTGTAATTAATGGCCATTAATAAATTATCAAAGATTTATAAATCTGTCTTGTAACATTACATACGATCATTTGACTTATTTAATTATTTGTTTTGAAGTTATGTAGATAATGACGTCGGTTATTGAATTAGCCAAATGTAATAATTTATGCGTTTTTATACAATAAAAGTTTGAGAATATCATAGGAAAATGATTTTATCAACTCTATGCTAGGTGAGCAGAGGTAGTCAATAAAAGATTACCTTGTTCGACCTAGAGATGCTCATGTTAATTTGTCACTTATTAGCAATCATATCTACAACCTTGTTAAAACGGATGCCCTATCCTTACAAATTCAAATCCAGAGCATGTACATTCATAATAAAACAAGTTAACAATAAGTTATTAAGGGCAGTTGTATTTATATTGGCTGACTACTGAGTAATAATCAATATCTTGTTCTACTTAAAGCGTTCAATAATCTGTGTATATATTACTTCAAGTAAGTCCTTTGACTTGATTCGGTAGAAATCCTTAGTATTATGTTTGCACAATATTTCTATAAATACGTTTACTTTTCTAGAAAAATTAAGAATTGATCTTAGTTAAACAAGCACTGGATGTCCGTCTCGTTCTAATATAAAACGCCTCTGCAGTAGTGGATGCATACTGTTGAGGAGTGCAATAGGAAGGAACCGTCCAGTACTTTCAGGTAACATCAGTTCGTGATTTCAATGAAAATCAACAATCTCCAGAATTCTATGCTAACACTTACATTTCTATTATAACATAAATCACTATATGAAAAATATTTATTCACATTGTATCAGAAGTGTATGTGTGGAATTGATAGAAATTTGTAATTTAATACATTGCTTATTGAAACAAGTTCTAACATGTTCCAAATAGTCATATCCAGTATTTCATGTGTTTAACAATATTAACAAAATTTCAACAAATTAAAATGTTTATTAATTAGTAAATATATGTAATTGGTTGAAATTCTTCATAATGAATTCTTTAGAATTTTTGCTATTTCTTGTGAGATGTATATAATATCTACTGTTATTGACTATGAATATAGAACTAAGTATAGATGTGTATTAGTCAATGTTATCAGATCATATAAGCACGGCGAGATGAAATTAACATAACCTATAATAAAATAGACCAAAGTAATGTGGTAGCAATGACAACAAGAAAGTACGTTCAACACTAGCAAACACCGTTTTTTCGTGGTAGTCGTTGATCGTGCATACCTAACAAATATCCTAGCCACCTCAAATAATGAAAATGTACGACCTCGTCAATAGATTTGTCATCATTGCCTAGCACTTTCTGCCAATCATCAACATCGGTTAGGCAGTGATTCAAAGACGCCCATCATCAAAAGCTAGTAGCCTATGCATAGTCCCTGTTTTGGTAGACTATGTTTAACATCTGTAGAGCATTATAGGTCAGAATGTTCAGTGGCGGGCAGGCCCTTTGTTTGGTAGATGAAAATCTCACTTGTGCTGTAAGTGAGAGCATCTGAGCTTTCCGAACCCCTTGTGAGACTTTTCCAGATACTAATTCACCAGGAGCTTCTTAGAATAAGTGAAAAAGTCAACACATTCACTCTATCATTACTTTAAGCGTTAACATAGACCAGTCATAAAGCAACATTTTTAATATATTGTGTACTCAAGGAGATAAAAAAAACTCAGTATCTTCGTCATCTGCGCAATCTAAGTATGTAATTAATCTCATCTAATTGTGAAGAATTTATGGATATTAATGGTCTTTTTGGTATTGATCACAAGCTGAATTCATTTAGGATGCTAATGAATACCAGGAAGCATTGAACTCTTATTTTATCCTAGTATTTGACTTCTCAACAGTAAGCAGTTATATAACAGCTCTAGATTAAAGAAAAGCAACCCTAAAGAGCTGTAATGTGTGCTTAGCCATTTGATCTTTAAGTTGACATCCAACGACAAACATTTCCAACTTCAATCAGTTTACAATGCGGTGCTATAATTATCCAACACAATCGGTGATAATTATTTCATTTCCGAGATACGGTTAAATTCTATCATTTACAACATGATAACAGAATCTCAAGTAGTCATTTTGAAGTGCTATTTTTGCATATTTCTAATAACTATGCTAAGTAGTACAATTGAATAAAAATATTAAATTTTTCTAAAATTCAATCTTAACTTAATTCTTTGCAGTATTTGTTGTCATAACACAGTAAAATAAAATATTTAAAGTTTATTATAAATTGACAGATATGAACAAAAAAATACTACTACTACTACTACTAATAATAATAATAATAGTAATAATAAATTGACAATTAAAGTATCAAACTAGTTCAGTAGTTTAACGTTGAACACACACACACACACAAAATTAGGTATTTACAAAAATAACAAGTAAATATGTTTTCTTTTTTTGGGGGAAATCCGGAAATATCAAATCACAGTGAAAACAAATAAAAATTTTAATGAAGAAATAGTGGAGATGAACTCAAACATAACCCTAACCACATTTACCTTATTGATAAATTAGTAGGGAGACAGATTTTCATTTATTTAAGTACAATATTCAAGTATAATGTTTATTGAACACTTGATTTTATGATCAATTCAAAATATTTATTTAGTGTGTTTTCGATACTGAAGAACCAGGAGTAGTTAGGAGTAAAACTTTATCTAACCAATAATTTATTGTTTCCATAGTAAATTCTTGAAATACCCTTAACATATTGAATCATTAAACGTCTAGAAACCAGTAAATCTGGATATTTAATCTCAGTAATTTTGTAATATTACCATTCTGATTCAACTTATAACTGATATCTGTATCATTTTATAAAATTGTTTGACTTTCACCAAGTTTCTTCAAATCATATAATATTGCTTTCGTATTAGACGAGTAGATGTTAAAAGACAGTAACAGGTAGTCATTTGAAACGCCAACTTTTATATCAAACAAAGTAACTAGTAAACTACTACTATCAAGAATACTTTACAACTATTCTACATATTTCACTCCATTTGAAGCCCTTCTGGGGTTATTGCCGGTCCCAAGCCCGGGTAAAAGAGGAGAGTTGGGCATGGAGTTAGCGACCGCATCTCATAGAAATCCAACAAGCTAAAAAAAACCGCAAACCAGAAAACAATAGTTTGCTGGTCGGTGGCAAAATTAAGTAAGCAATTATTCTACTCATTTTTAACGCATACTACATGATCCTTCCAACAAATAGGCGAAATGAGTTACAGAGATGTTGGCAAAAACTTGGGGAAAACAAATAAGCAACTCATAAAGTATCACGAGCTATCTGTAGAGACTAACACAAAATGAAGATAGATTCAGACGAGTCATATGTTTCAATAACAGATGATATGCAAGAGACTGGTAAGACTGCTGTCCTAATATAACCATCAACTATATGGAATGCATATATGCTTCT